AGTCTGTTCGGAATCACTATGATAATTTGAAAAATAATGCAATAGAATTATCTAAAGTCTGGGAAGTAAAAGTGAAATTTAGCGATAAGCGAGTGAAGTAAACGAAACAACATTTTGACGAATGAGGAACAACGACTCACTGATGGCGAACAAAGATACAGATTTAATGTTTATTATGGATGTCCAAATATTGTCATTAACCAGTTGAAGCGAGGATTTGTTGGATTGAAAAAATTCAGAGGCAAAAATTCAAAATGATTCAGCCGATGTTTTGATAGCACTTTCGGACGATGAAATTTACGAAGAAGCATAAAATCTTCAATAAAATATCCTGCAGGTGTTGCGGAAAACGTGTTGTCTCAGCTATTGACATATCTCAATATTGACATTTCTTCCGGCTCTTCCTGTCATGGTCGCCAGCGCCCAAAGAACGTTTTCCAAATAAAAGCTGATTAAAAATTATTTACGAAGTAAAATGGCACAAGACCGTTTAAGTAATTTATTAACTTTACCCACTGAGCATAAAAAACGATGTTGAAAAATTATATTCCATTGATAAATTTGTGAATGCGAAAGAAAGACCAAAATTTAAATTTTTAATTGTATCGTGAAATAATAATTTATTTACTGTAATAATTCATTGTAATAAAGATTTCACTTCTAAAATTCAGTTTATAATCACAAAATTAACTACATATCTTTAATTAGGGAGCCCCCATATTGTACAGGTCCGACAGCTTCCTGTGTTCAACTAACGCCACTGGGTGTAAAGAGACCGTGCACCCCCATCATATCCAACATTGCTTACTTCTATATTTGCCTCTGTAGCAACGTTGACTGGGAGGTCCTAGGGTTCGAGTTTCGACGGTGGGAGATTTTCGGCGTAAGTATATAGCTATTGTCCAAATAACATTTCTGTCTACTTGACAGCTGAGGGTGGGGAAGAGAAATGTTGCCACAGACTCGGGCGCCACACGCGTGGCCGTTCTTGCATCAGATCACGACAGCAACAGTAGCAAGAAACAAATCGCAATGAGATCATACGACAATAGACGACCCAGAACTGCACGCACAACGTATAACCAAACAAGTAATGACTCTCTTCAATTTTCAGTTACTTTGCGCTGTAAGATGTAATTTCTTTCTTAATAAGGATCGGCAACTTTGCAGTGACAACATCAGAATTTGAAGCCACTGATTGCACAACGGAATCCCTTCTCCCCTCAGCCGAGAGCTGTTAAGTAGACAGAAATATTATTCGGACAATAGGTGGAATTCATCCGCCCGCCGTCTGGAGGAGAATTTAAGCGAACGGCTTCCATAATCGGTTTTCCGTGGTTTCTCTTATCAATACCATGCAAATGCTAGAGCTGTAACTTAAATCAGGCTCTATCTTCCCCTCATCCTTGCTCCTCTTCTCCCCTTACATACACTTCGAACTACATTACCACACGTCAGGAGCTCAGAGTAAGCCCCGTCAGGGGGCGATGCCCGCTGGAGGAGATACCTAGACAGTGGCGGCCATGCAATTGTACCTCCTCGCCCGATCTATCCATCTAGAAATTTTATGATTAGGATGAAAGAGTCAAAACTTTATGATCATTTCTGAAATGAATGAATGAATGATCTTAATGCACAAGTGATTATAAACACACGATATGAAGAGGCAGGGGAAACGGGAGAACGTCTACATGAAATCTACTCTGATTTTAACTTTTGCATTAAATTTAATGTACAAATATATTAAGCTATTTTTATCGTACAAGGTTACATTAAGTTACGTGCACAATACATGAATCTACATTAAATTTAATGACATTTCTGACAGTGTATAATTCACGATCTGTGGTCCCATGAAATAGCTCCCGATTAGCTACCAAGATCGGTTTTGTGCGTTCGCGGCATTCTTCACCGGCCGTTAATAAGTTCCCAAGAGGGTAAGAAGGGGTTAGTGAAGTTAATGAGAAAGCTCCGATATATGCAAAGCGAACGTGTTGTTATTGAAAATTAAACCGAAATTAACAGAAGAAGACCCTTAGTAGCAGTCATTTGGATTTCCGTGCAGTATGAAATTTTGTCATTCAATGCAGAGAACAAGAGTCTAATCTACCTTCGAATACACGCATTATAGGAGAAGGTCGGGTAATATCGGAGAGCGGGTGGTATCGGTCAAAAGTAGTTTAGGGCACTGGGTACTAGTGTGAGCGTGACACACTATTGGTGTGTTCCTGGAAACGAATTAGCTCTGCTAACGCCATACTGTGAGAGTATTTTACACAGTTTGGTTAATGCGGCATGTGTTACGCTTTTTTTAAAGGTTGCTCATTTTACGAAGATAATTATGGCGCTTTGAATCTTCTCTTGGAGTAAGTTTACATATTTTGCACAGTGACTTGTATGTTTACTAAGGCGTATTTGTTACGATACAACAGAACTAGTTCTACAATTTGTCTGCTTTGATAGGGGTGGATCATGGCCCTCGCACCCACACCACAAAAAAAGATGTCCGTTGTCTACGCAGAATACGTCTCCTACGAATTGTTTACGTGTAGATGTAGACACACATCACTGACATATACATCTTACTCACAGAGATATTACTCAACATTGTTGTAGCCTTTTAAACTAAAATGCATTGGATCCAGTAAACTCTCACTTGAAAATCAAAATGATATTTATCTACCTAATATATTTTCTATTCACGTAATATTGCAACCAAATTTATCATTCACGAATGAAACAAATTTCAATTTTCTGCGAGAAATTTTTCAAAGAAGTCAGAGCCTTAATTTTTTATGTGCTTTTACATACAACAGTTTAGTTACTTTACGTAAAATATCAATGATAAGTATCGTATCACTTAAAAATTACATCCTCCTAAACTTGAAATATTGTTGTTTTTTTTTTTAGTTTTGTTTGTTTGTTTCAAATTTTCGTCTGTAAATATGTAGTAAGATCTGATCAAAATTTCAAAGTTTTCCACGTAAAAGATCGCTATGATACCAAATTGCATTATAAATTTAAACAGTGAGATACAAACTCAAAAAGGTTTTAAAAAATTGTTAATTAACGCGAAAAAATGCTTCATTTCCGTATTGGGGAGAAGTGGGGCATGAAGTGATCATATTATTTTCCAAACATTTTGAACTTAAATATACCTTCTTTACAATAATAATTAGGGAGATTTCTACAACTTTGCATATTTTTGCCCGTTGCTTCTGGGCATAGCTAAGTGAAATTTCTTGACATTTAGTTAGAGTTGGATACTACGTAGATTAGTATGTTAGTGCACATTAGGCAGATTTTTCCTGTAGGTGCTTATTATGCATATTTTGTTAAAGTAGAAACTTATCTCTACAGGTTTTTAACTTTTGATACAATCTATTTATTTGTGAGTGTTAATCAATTAGAAAGAGCTTGTCACAGTTTGCAGTTGATTTTTGTTCATTTCTGTAGATGATAAAATACTTGTGTAAATGTAGGAAATTTCTTGATATCATATTTTTTTAAACCACGAAATGCAACAAGACATGCCATGTGGCATCTCTAAGGTGAACATCTACTTTAATTATTTTGCCCACAAAGTAATGTAAAGAATATTGTATTTACACAAAAATATATATCTTTTCGCTCCAAGCACGTTTCTCCTGTATTTCATCAAGAAAGGTTTATGCAGGAAATGAAATATTGTTAATTTTAATTGCATATTTAAGTGCATATTGCAGAAATTTCAGGTCATAAATGCATATTTTTAAAATCATATTTCCAGATCTTTTATGACAAAAATTCTCTCCCTAATAATAATATTGTATTATAAATACATATAAAATGTGATTTAGAATGAAAATTTTAATTAGGTTTATCATGTTAACTATATCGATTTGTAACACAAAATTTCTTTCAATATCCACCCTTGTGCTACAATTTTCAAAACTAAAGATGAAGGTTTTTTGAAAAACAAATGTAAAAGTTATCAGCCATCCCATTGTACAGTACTTATCATAGATACTATATAAAGTAACTCTACTGCTACATGTAAAAGCATAAAAAAAATTAAGGCTATTACTCTATTCTTTCTTTGATAATTACTCTCTAAAAATCAAAATTTGTTCATTTGTGATTGCAAATATTGGTTTTGCTTGCCAATATTACCTAAATAGAAATATATTAGGTATTAAATGGTATTTATCTACCTATTATGATATTTATCTAAATATCACTTTTATTTGTAGGCCAGAGTATACTGAATCCAATGCATTTTAGTTAAAACAATTCAACAACGTAGCGCTGAGTACTTTACAAACCGTAAATGTCTAGAAATGCGAAAATCATCTTAGCTTAAAACAAAACAGGTCACCACTGTGAACAACATACAATATTTCTTTCTTTAATCAATGGGTTTTAACAGCCAAAATATAAGGGAATTTATATAGAAAGTATGAATTTTATATCTGAGATGGTGAGATAACCTCTTAAAATAGAATGACCCATCTGCAAAATAATTGTAATTCAAATGTACTAAAAACATGTGTTTGTAGACAAGTAATGAAAATGTAATTAAATTTCAAAACATCTTAAATTGTATTGGCATTTTGTTAATTTTCATTTTTAAAAAGTTTTTCTATTATAATGAGTGTTTTTTAGTAAATTTGGAGGATTTTTTCCAGAGGGGTTCCACTAAGTTTTCATGCTTCAAGCCCTGCAGTTCCTAAATCCAACCCTCCCCAAGAACATTAACTATATTTGATTCCCGTAAGTTTTTGTCACTCCAAAATGCAAAATCCTCCCCCAAAAAAGTGTGAATAACTATTAAGCTAGTGGTTCTATGTACCTGTGCAAATCTGTCACAGAAACACTAACAAATCTTGCGTGCAAAACGTCTTGGATTTTTATGCATAACATCAAGAAATATTTTTGGTTGCAAAAACTTTTTCAATCTCAAAAGAAAAAGGAAATTAATGTTTGTACTACGTCATAAAAGAAAATGAAACTGAGTAAATGAGAGTATGACACTGTACCCAATTCCCAATTATACAATTTACAGGTTATTGAGCGCATTTATTGAAGTTCTTATTTACATTTGATTCTGTATAATTACAAACTCGTCACATTGACACTTTCATTTAAATATAAAATTCCCTAACAACAGGAACACTAGGGATAAGACAAAGGCTCTCAGAGTACATAAACATTTCACACACGATAAAATCTATTTTGGAATTTCAAAACATATGTCTCCAAATGTATCAACATTAAACATGTTCATAAATTAAATCATTTCTAAAAAACGTGAGGGGAAAATCAATTTACTCAACTTATAAATTGTAAAAACACATGTACAAACCATTTGGTATAACCCACATGCACTTTCCTTCTATAAGTTCTCTAGCATAATAAACAAAACTTTCACTCTACTGACTACAGAGCCATATAACTGATTCACTCTAGTGAACTACACTGATTTTCTGTGGACTAAATATAAACTACAGCCATATGATTTACATAAAATTTGTTCAAATTTCTGAGGACCGAAACAATGTATTCTGCACTACAAAATACATATCTTAAATATGCTGTCATTTGAGGATAGCCAACCAAAACATGTGAAAAGGGACTCTAAACTAATTTCAAGAAGAGACATTTTATTAAATTTTTACACATTTCTGTGAATTTTAATAAAGAATCAATTATGAATCACCTAAGGAAAATTACAATATTACATGAAGCAAAAGATAAACATTAATTTCCAAATGTTCTTTTTTTTTTTTGGAAATTAGAAAGAAAAAAGAACCTCACTGTTCATGATCTGTCCTATGTCTTCCAGACAGAGCACCTATAGACTTGAGACTAAATTTAAATCCTTAAATATTTATGCAATCGTTGTTGATGGTATTTCAATCTCCTTTGCAAGAAAATTTCAGAGCCCTATTTTGATTTCTTTAACAACAAAATATATTAATAATAATCTCACCAGTGTTTCATACAATAACAACAAAAACTAATATTCTCAGTTGGGTGCACTCCTAGGGTTAAACCAATGAAGATTAAAATTTTAAAACTTCATTGAAGTGAATGTTTGAGTATAAGGTAAATCTGAATATTTTGAATTTTCCAACAAAAAACATAAGTTTTATGAATAGTTTTATAGCCACCAAATTCACAATTCTCCCAAAATATGTTTCTAGCATTTCATTAGCAAATATCATATGTGCCAAATATTTGCAAAAAACTGAATTTAAGAACTTTTTATCAAGTGTTAATTTCAAATTTTATTAATAGTAAAGAAAAGTGCAAAACTTCTGGAAAAGCATTCATTTTCCTTTACCCCTTAAGCAGCGTCACCTCTTTCTGGGACAGAAGGTGGTAGTGAAATAATATTTCAGTCCTTCACTAATGAACAAGAAAATAAATTATTGTTCCCAAATACACTCCAGATGAATGGACTTATGACTAAATCTGGGAAGTTTAAGCAATTTGCATGTTTTTTGTTAATAGTTAAATCTGTCAGAAACTTAAAATCTGTTTCATGACAAAACATTGAATCTGAGTGAGAAAACATTTTGCATATAATGGATATTTTGCATATATTAGACATTTGGGGCATAAGAATGAAGTTATTTGCATATTTTCCAATATTTTGAATACAAATTTTATTTTAAAGTAAAAATTATTAGTTAATACATGGCATAAAATTTCTTAGTCAAGCAGGAGTATATAAACCCTATACATGGCTGACAGCCAGGACAAGCAAAGTAAAATTTGTTGAGTTACTGTGTAAATTCAGAATAGGTAAATGACAAAATGGGAAGATGATTTTCAAATGAGAAAATACATTCACTATGTACTTGGCTTTCAGAGAATGTAGTAAGAACAAACATGTCAAAATACAAATAATCACCCATCACATCCTCTGATGTGACAAGGTCTTTTGATCATATTCAAAATACAATACTACATATAGAGATAAAATGTGCTTCCAACAAATAGAAAATCTGAACAATTACTAAATGATATTCTGTTTTCTTTATGCAAAATAAAGTTTATGATAATTAATTTTTAATTTCCACTTTCCCTAGGTGGCAAAAATATCTGGATACCATTGCAAACTACATATTTTTATAACCAAATGTGGCATATTTTAAATATTTTTGTGCATATTTTGACATATTTGAATACATATTTTAGGATTCAAAGCTTGCGTAAACTTCCCAGCCCAAATTATGAACAATAGGTTTTAGTAGGCTACAGAGGCAGGCGACCCATGATGTAGCTACCAGTCAGCTCGCCTTCCAGTGCTGGGGTGAGGTTCAATCCCCGCCTGAGCCAATAAGTTTGTGGTGGAGAAAAGGTTTATAGCAGGTTTTCCCTCTTTTCTCCCATTTCTTCTGACTCTTATACCTTCACCTCCATCTTCATCTTCATGCTTATTACTAATCTCATCTCCATCACCTTCACCTTTATCTTCAACATTGTCATCATTACATCTTAACTGTACATGCCATACCAAGGAGACAGGATGATGATTTGAGATTCTCACTGCAAGACTATGGCCATAAATTTAGGTCCCTATCACCTGCTATCTCACCAATTCATGCCTCATGATAAATAAATAGGCTCCAGCAAACATAACTTATTAGAGAGATATTACTTTAAACGTCTAACAAATAATTCAAGCTCAAGTTAAAAAGCCCTCCAAAAATTGGGCTGTTGTTGATTTATTGATCAGCTTGTTAAGTCTTCTTAATTTTTATTACATTCATCATAGTTTATATTTGAAAATGTTTTTTAGAGATACTACACTATTCTATTCAAATGTGGATAAAAATATTTCCTTTTTTTCTTTTGAAGAAAACTAAGAAACATTATTATGAATTGGTGAAAGAAATATCAGAAATAATTGAAGTACTTCACTACCCCTTCTAATCAGCAGGAATTATAGATCCTGCAAGATGTTTAGAAGATTTCATTGGATTATCTCAGCAAGTCACTGATATAAATTATCACAATTCATTTAGCTGGCACAAAACATCTACTATCACAGTCATTTTATTTTTTCACAGAAATCAGTTATGCTTTTAAGTGCTTGGTTTTGCACCATGACAACCAATAATTCTGTTGTTACAGAATGAGTCAGTAGAGAAAATGAAATAACTTCATGTTTTTCATGAAACAAAACAAGCAATAAACTGCCATCAGTAAATAAACATATAATTATAAAAATATTACTAAAACATAGTAACTAAAGAGTCCAAAAGAAAAAATTCCAACAAAAATCAAATGTCAACCTTACAATAAAATTCTAAAATCTGATCAATTGTAATTCGCAAAAATTAAAGTAGAAAATTGATATTATTTAGTCAAAATAATTAAAGTTCAAATACATTATAATTTTGTATGAAGATATACTCAATCAATTCAAAAAGAACGTCAATGAATAGGGTTACACCATCTGGCTCACACACCGCAAACCATTACACCCAAGTTTACACATCATCCAATTTTCAACTTGCATAAATCACTTAAACAAAAAAATATTCATCACAATAAAGGAAAATTTGTTACTCAAAATTTTCTATATTAAATATCAGATCTATTGCCTTGGAAACATTTTCTACAGTGTACTCTGGTTCTCGTAATTTTTCTTCCACAGGCAAAAAATCTCTTGGAGAATGATCTGATATACCATCGTTTCGGTCCGGTGAGTAAACACCAGTCTGAAAATGACAAAAATACTAGAATTGTAAATTTATTCACTACATAACAGGTATTTTCATACATGTCACAAGGAGATATTACAGTTTCATTAAGTTTTTTCACAGGCTCCATGTAAAATCCTCACTGATCTCCACTTGATTTCTCAGAGTTGTAAGCACAAAAGAATTGGTTTAATCTGATTTTATCATAATAAGAAAACTTATACACAAGAGTTAATTGTGATATTATTAAATCCCTTTAAAAATTATAAATAATAGAACTAATGTTGTCAGCATGAATAATGGCTTCTACAGACAGCTAACTTCTCTGGAGATAAATAATAGTAGCAGTAATAATAATAATAATAATAATAATAATAATAATAATAATAATAATAATAATAATAATAATAATAATCGGCCCCGTGACGCAGCCGTCGTCTGTGCCGAGGAGGCTGCAGGTTCGAGTCCTGCGAAGACATGGTCGTATTTGTGATTGTCCCTTCACCTATCATCATCAACCTATCATCTCATAATTCACATTTCAAGGCGTAACAACCTTGTTGTAATCCAAGGATACAGCTGAAAAGCTGATCCTGGAAAAATTACACACGTTAATCGTGTAGCGTAGTCAGTAATGGCCTATACGACGACGACGACGACGACGACGACGACGATGATGATAATAATATATTATTATTATTATTATTATTATTATTATTATTACTATTATTATTACTATTATCCTGTGTGATGTCGAGGGTTTTAGTAGAATAGCACCACAGGACCCTGTTGTAGAAGGCGACTAATCGAAGCAGCTCTCACTTCCCTAAACATCCTGTAATTCTCATATACTTGGTGTGTCATTGCTTCCACTTACTTGTGGCACACTTCTGTTTTCTGTAATGTAGGCGAACCTTCGTAACGGCCAACCCTTGTGTTCCTGACCCCGACGCTATTAGGTTGCGAGTTTCTATTTTACTCTTCTATTCTAACTCTATTCTTCCCTGTCCTCCTCCTTTTCTCCCGTTCCCTTTTAGCGGCGGGAGCTCAAAAACGCTAGGGGAAGGTGACCCCGAAGTAAAAACCCAGAAAGAAAGGCCTTTTTAGGATCAACCATTACGATGCGGGGGATCGGAGCCTCAGTACCGGCGCGGCAGTCAGGAGTGCGCGAACAGGTTCCGGGGCGTCGTCATCCAGCGACTGCAATGGCACAGATGTGGCCCGTTGCAACTATGAACCCTTCTGGAAGGATGGCAAGGGAACATGGCAATAGCTCTAAAGGAGCAAAACCAGGAGCAGTTACGTACCTGTTGTGGGATAAATGGAATTGTATAGAACAGCAGCAAAAGGCCCAGATGAAGCTAATAGAAAGTCAGACCTATAATGTGCGTGTAGTTGGGAGCAACTTGTTAAGAAATAATCACACAACAATGAATGAGGCACTGGCTAAATCCGTAGAAGAAATCGGCATGATGAACAAATGTCAAGCTGTGGCAGAAGTACGAGGAGAGTTCTGGCAACAACTGCTCAAAGGTGAAGAGCAAAGCCGATGAGCCAAACTGGGGCTGAAATGCCTAAGGGCCTCACTCGGCAGAAGAGGAAGAAGGATGACTCCTTGCCCGACGGTTGAAAATTGCAGACAGGAGAATGAAGAAATTGTAGAAGCAGCAAGCGAAGTAACGCAGGAATGTTTGGTTCCCAAGGAACACAGGAAGAAAGAAGTAGAGACAGCTGAACTCAAGGGAAGCCCCATACTGAATCAGGCTATAAAAGTGTCGACCAAACACAGGAACCCTACGCCGACATCATTAGGAAACTAAAGAAGGGAGAAGCGGCAGTTAACCTAATTTTTCAGGTGCCTTAAGTACGGACATGTAATGTCTATGTGTTCGCGTCCAGATAGAAATAACACTTGCTACCAATGTGACAATATTGAACACATCGCTAAGGACTGCAGAGGTGGACTATAATACGATTAATTTAGTAGTGCACTTGACGTAAATCAGCCATTGCGATTTCATCCAATTGGGAGCTTAGATGTCGCGACAGTGACGTCACTATGGGGACGTTCAAGCTCTCGATTGGATGAAACCGAGAACAGATGATTTACGTGAAGTGCATAGTTAATTAAATCCTAGTATACATTGCATTCCTATGCAAGGAGAAAAATCAGAAAAAGCAACTATCTTCTAGGAGGTAACAAATGTGCCTCATTCATCGCTGCGACTAGAAAACACAATACACAAAAATGCTCAAGGTTATTCAAATAAATCTGAGAAAAAGTACGTAGACGCAAGACCTCTTAACTCACGTCAACACAAAAAGGAAAGCTGACCTACTACTCGTCAGCGAGCAGTACCATACATCTGACGAGGCCACGTGGTACGAAGATTCCTCAAGAAGAGCAGGAATAATTATTTTTAATAAAAAGCTTAGGGTACGAGCATTCAAGAGGACGAAATTCGGACTCGTCTGGGTGGAAGTAAATGGAGTTAGGATCTGCAGTTGTTACTTCCCCCCAAGCAATCAGAACAAAACATTAGAGAGCATTGTTGAGGTTGAAACTAGCCTAATGTCAGAAAAAAGCGAAGCTCTTATAGGAGGTGACTTCAAAAGTAAATCTCCACAATTGGAGGAGACTAAGATAAGAGAGAAACCATTGTTTGCAAGTTTGTCTCAAGGAGCGACTTAGTTACTCTAAATAACTCTGACAAGTTTACTTTACAATGAGGTAATGCTTCCTCAATTCTGAATATTACCACAAGCTCTACAAAGTTGAGTGGGAGAGTCAAGGATTGGGAAGTACTTGAGGTCGAGCCAGTTAGCGAACATCTGTACATAAACTTTTCCGTCGCTACAAATCAGGGGTATCATCCTGGCGTGGCAGGATGTACCAAAGACAGGGCCGCCTGGAATGTGAATAGATTAAACGCAGGCAATACTAAGGGGTCGTTGGAGGAATCTAGGCTGATGAAGAGCATTGACTGGACGAGAAGGGCGGAATCCCACGATGAAATAGCAAGGGAAACCAAAGATATAGTAGTAGCTGTATGCGATGCCTCGATGCAGAATCCCATCCCTAGGAGCAAGCTTCATGTCTACTGGTGGACGCCTGAAATTGCGGAGCTCGGCAGGAACTGCGTCAAGGCGAAAAGATTACCGACGATGGCCAGGACAAATCCTTCCCTTCGAGATCAGTATAAGAAGTCTCGAAAATTGCTCACGAGAGATTAAAAGCAGCAAATCCAGATGTTGGAGGAAACTCATAGATCTCGAAAACGACCTATGGGGCACGACCTATGGGGCACGACCTACAAAATAGTGACAAAGAAATTTAGGGCGCACTGTAAGACGCCTGGATTAGACACACGCTGGGTGAAGAAAGTAATAGGCGACCTCTTCCCTACTAGGGATCGCTGGGAAAGACAAAGGCCGAGCAGCTTTTCCTTTCACGGAAAAGATGTTTACGCTGGAAGAACTGCGGAGTGCCCTGTCGACTATGAAATGAGGGAAAGCGCCGAGCTTTGGCGGCATCCCGAACGAGATCTTGAAAACCGTGACATAGCACTACCCGAAATGCTTGTTATCTGAGTCCAACAGCTGTTTTAAGAATGGAACATTCCCCACGCGGTGAAAGAAACAGAAACTCGTTCTTCTCTGGAAGGGTAATATGCCCGTAAATCAGACTTCGTCTTTCAGGTCGCTTTGTCTTTTGGATATTATGGGCACTTGAGGGTCTAATTCTCAGGTTTCTCTTTCTTTCTCAGGTCTTTATTGATATTTTACTTTTTATCACAAAATTCAGAAACTTAGAAGTTAAAACTGCATGGTGATTTTTATAGACAAAAATTCATTTCTCATCCTAACCATCATCCTAAGAATATGCCAGTGAATACATCTGTCTAAAGCACAGGATGGAATTCAATCCCATGAATGCCTCCTTATGCACGATACTCAAAAATATAATTTGCCATTATCATCACAATTATCATTAATATTAGATAATCATTCCAATAAATAATTCTGGACAACTGTGCAATTGCTCAATAATAAGTTCTACAACATTCTAAAAATGAAAACTACACTAAAAACTACTAAATGAGTTTCTTTCTAAATTACAAAACTGTATTGAATGAATTGCTGAAACTTTCCTAATATTTCCCTCAATCTTTTAAAATTCTTGGAGAGATTTCTTCATAGGATTAAAAAGCTTTCTACATTATAGAGTATTCCAAGAAAGCATAAAGGGACTCAACTTACTCCTCATACAACATGTTCTAAATGTTTGAATTCTCATTTGGAAAGAGAATTTAATACATTTTAAATACTAAATTATACTTATTTGGATATTCAAAATGAGAAATGTTTCTCAATGGAATATTTTGCAATGAATTGACTGAACATGAAAAAGGTCAATATAGAACATGAAAATACTGCACAGATGTAACAAATCAAAGGTGATTTTGCCTACAATACATTTTTCGTACTGGTAAACTGAAGAAAAGAAATTTAAAAAAATAGAAATGAAATGAAATGTTGCTTCACATATTAGAGCATAATAAATAATAAATAGCATACCTCCACTAAAATGCTTGAACAAGAGACGGCCCCTTGATCCCAGTCATGTGGGTCAGCTCCAAGGAGATCTTCTATGTTTTGTTGTCGTCGTGTAACACGTCTCTCTCTTCTCTCTAAATACTGGTTGTATAAATTAGCCCCAAAGACATCAGTATAAATATTATCTCTGAAATTTGACATTTCATGAAATATTTAATCTTAAGGAATTATTTAACAAGATAAAGATATAACATATATCAAATGGCATACCCAATTGCATACAGATGTTTCAAATTATCTGTTATTCCTATTTGCCTTGCATGTGCTAACACCATACAATGAGCATGATGATAAGTTATTTCACTAGGTTTCCCAATTAAAGCAGTATATATTAAATTTAAACCTGTTATCTTCTTATAAAGTGTCTCTAAACACAACAGAAATGCCCCATGGCCAAATCTGAAACAGAGCACAATAAGTACCGAAAACATGATTATGAATTTAGTAAATTTCCTTTGTTAAATGTTCTTAAACATAAATGAACAATATACATGGAATACACAAAATATTAATAAACTAAAACTTGTTAAATGCAGAACCTCAAGGGACTAGTATTTTTTTCCATGTTACACAAGATTCTGCATTAAGCAATGAACTACAGTAGAATTCATGATAGGCAGATTCACAATTTATGTTTACATTGGGCACATTATATACATTTCACATTGAGTAAGTTTTACTGAAATATTTAGCTGTTTTATTGAGCTAAAATGAAGTTCATATAAACCTATTTAGAAAGTTCTGCCAATCATTTCATGAATTTAAACAAAATTAAAATAAAGTTTCAGAAAACTTGACAATGATCAACTTCAAATTCATTGATACACCAGGTAGCCACAAGGGATATATATATTACATTTTGAAGTTATCAACTAATTTTTAAAGCAGTTGTCAGTCATACTTGATAAATCAATTTGTTTTCTTAATATTAATTCATGAATTCTTAATCAATGTCAAGGAAATAACGACAGGGATTGTGGAAGCCTTTTCTAAAATGAATTAAGTATCATAAAAATATTTTCAAAATCAATTCACTAAATTGCATCACAATTATTTTGAAAATGTAGTAATTGAAAAAACAATGCATATATAAATTGATATGTAGAACACACAGAATCATTTTCAATACTCTAAGTGTTATTTTAGTCACTCTATTTCATACCTTGGCATACGAGCTTCTGCCATCCACTGCAAATCCATATTACATGCTAACACAGGTATATGTGGATACCTCAGAGTCGCTGGGCACACAGCAGGCTGACCATCAGTCATAAGAACATCTACAAGAAGTTGTAGAGCTGTCTCCCACCTCACAGGTTCACCAAACAAAACAACTGCTTCTATTGGAGGGAAATATTGTTCAAATGTGCAAGGCTGAAAAATAAAGACAGTAACAGAAAACTCTTCGAAATCTGAAAATATAAACAAATATGAAGATCCTTACAAAGCATATTATGACTGTAAAGCCAGAATCTACTAAAATTTAATAAGTGACTGTTCATGGCACAGCATTCAATTTCTACAAGGTATTATTAAATATCTTAAAAAAGGAATATTGCAAATAAATGAGGTAATCACATTATACATTCATTTATGATTTTTGTAATATCAACAACACATTCATTGAATTTTTTATCACTACTCTGTGTGAAAAAATGCTGTCTACTGTGCAAAAACAAAGGCAAGATAAGATAATTTAAGGTAAAATAAGAAACTACAAAGTCTGCATTTGCATTCAAGCAAACAAAAAGTTCACAATTCATCAAATTATTTTCCCTACAATGACAATTTGGCAAGGTAAATACAATAATAAAAATTACTTCATAATAACAGTCTTACCACTGAAATCCGTCGTTTGTGATCAACAGCATCCAACACTGGGAAAGTATGCCTCAACTGTTCCAGAGTAGTAATCTTTTGGAAGCCAAGATTTTTAGCTATTTCAACAGTTGGTCCTTGCCCAGATACAAGAACATGCTTAGTATGAAATTGTTGAAACATTCTTAGAGGAGAATGGGCCATAATAACTTGGTCTTCACTTATCTAAAAACACATACACATAATAAATTAGATGTTTTTAATTGAACAGAAGAAACTTAAGGAATACTTGTGCAGTAACTGAATTCAATGCAAAGGAAAGAAAATCAAACCTGCATTAAAAAAAATAATTTTAAATTATAAGGACATATCTCTTAACTAAGTTGTTCAATGATATAAATATATAATTCCATCAACTGTCATTTAGATGTCTTTGACATTTAAATATTTTTCCATAAATGATATATTTTTATTCATGCTATGAATTCACAAATGCAAATTAAAAGAAACACAAAGCATGAAAAATGGAACAACAATTCAGAGGACAATATTTATTTAATAAAATTTAAACCTTTTCCTCCATATTGCCTTTTAAAAACGGTTTACTTGTAATTCCAAGAAGTAAACATCAAATCTATTTTTTAAGAGCCATATTTTTCATGAAATGTGTCCAGAGTATCAAAACGGATTAAAAATTAGCATTTTTAAAAAATTTACTTCACCTCAGAATGACAGTCATGACACAACAGACACAATCAATGTACATGATAAAATAATGCATCAATGAGAGATCAAGATTGAAGATTTAGCAAAGGGAGCAAACAAAGGTGAAGATAATCAGTTTAAATGTGGAATATGCAATGTTTGTATGGTTAGCAGACCATATTATTATTAAAATTATTATTATTATTTTTATTGAGATAAAAGTGTTATAGAAACAGAAAAAAGTATCAAAAACATTAATTTATTTATGAATAGAAAATAGACTATTATATTAAAAAAGATGGACATAGTTATCAAAAATGCTTTTTGAGTCATTGGTTAAAAAAAACTACCAGCTTCTATAAATTAAATGCCCTGGCATTCTATACAATAGATGCAGATTTCTGCATAGACACACATTACCTTTCTCTGGAACTGAACTTCAATTTTAGTACAATCAAATAGGTAGAAGTCAAAGGCAAAAATAAGAAAATATATTCAAATTCAGATTACTCGATTGCAACAAAATAACTGTTAATATCAAATTAAAAAATAACATTAATTTGCTGCTCATTTCCAAACAAATTAAATAACTCAGGTCAATCCAATGAACAAATTCGAAAATGCAGATTTAATATTTGTGGCAGATGTTCTGAACAAGTTCAAAATACGTTCTGTAATGTGTTGCACACGGCAACTTGCTGAGCAGAGCAATTAATAAATAACTCAAGTCTCTACTTATTTTGAGAAACATTTTTTTCTTACTGGATGTCTGATCTGCCTGTCAAAGTAGTTTACATGCAGTTTTGGAAATCGACATGCTTACTAAATTTTATTAGTCAATTAATATAAAGGATAACAAGTGAATAATCAAAAATGAAAGAACTTTGCAGAAGCAAATTTTTTGTCCATAACAAATTACCATAAAAGCTTTAAAAAAAGTTTTTGAGTAACTACTTATTAAAATTTAACAGAATTCATGAAAGCATTTCCAAAAATGTAAAGCTGCATCTTGAAACAAAATAAACTAGGTGTTGCTTTATCAGCAACATACATCACAAATACTTATACAAGTCTATTAGATGTGAATGTTTCCACAACTAACAAATATTGAAAACTGTTTTAATGATCAATGTCGAGTACTTTCCACAACATAATTCTGTGTCAGTGAATTAGTACTAACTTGAATTAAACAACCAAAAACTCTTGAAATATGAAAACAAATCTTATTCCTCAAAATATAATTAATCTTAATGTGCATGTAACTATAATAAGAGTAAAGGGAAGCAGTAGGATGTTTATGGGAATTCGGGCAGAGAGCACTGATTGTAAAAGAAAAACAACATATTGCAATTTAAAATTTTATTTTCTCAGATCAGAATACAGTACAATAACATATACATCTTACAAACAAAAGATGAAAACCTGTTGAATAAAATTTAAAAAAAGACCATGTACTGATGAGCAATTTCATTAATCATTTAATAATTTTAATGCTCTCTTCCTGAATTGCCATATTTTTCCTCCCAACTTTTCAGAACTTTTCCTGATTTACTGTAGATTTCACAATCAAAGACAGGTGACAGATAAACAAAAATAAGTTTTGTATAACATGGGCAAATTTTAAAAATAAAATTTTAAGTGTGAAATTTTCAAATTTCACAAAACACATGAAAATTGGGCAGTTTCTCACATGGCAAAATCATTTAAAGCATGCAAAATAATAAAATAAAAAGCCATAGCACTAGCATTTCTGTATTCAACTCACTCTCAAATACTAACTTGGACACCCAGCCACTGGGATAGCTGTTTGGCTTTTTCATGCCGTAAGCCATTTCCAGCATTAGTGACAAAGACGGTGGGAATTCGAAATGTGCCATCAGCGTTGATTAACCGCCAGAAGGCTTCTGGTGCAGATGGTAAAACTTTTTTTCCTCTTACAATAACACCATCAATATCAAAAAGGATACCAAAACTTGGTTTCTGGATCATAAAAGGGAAATGTTATATATCCACATGAAATATTACTGTTGATTGACTGAATATGTCCTTGTAACTATCTGTAAAACTCTTCATTCATATAAAGCAATTATTGTTGTGCGAGAGCATATGTAAAAAAGAATAAGAAATTGATATTTTGTAATTCAATAAACCACAAAAGCATGTTTTATTATGAGTTAATGTGGCAAAATATTTCAGAAATTTAACCAATTTCAAATAAAGGAATTTAGAAAGACCTGAACTGTTGCTGTCTATGAATGGTTTATGGTAAGATTATAAAGAAATTTCAACAATATAACAGAAAGGCATTTTCAATATTATTTTACAAGGAAATTCATTACAAAACCAATTTCTTGAAGAATATATACATTTAATACAAAAACAAAACATTAATCGAAAACAACGAAGGTTAAACTATCAGTCACTGCCCATTGACATTATCTTAAAACTCAAATGATAAATTAAAATGAACACTAATTTCTTTCAGACAATATAATTTTCATACAGAATGTGCACTTACGGGCTCTAAAAAGATAAGGTCATTGAATATGCCCTTATTATGTAACAAGTCATTTTATAAATGAATTATATTAATGTCATCTATTCATTACTTCAAATAAATTTTGCAGTCATAATAAAGAAAACAGCTCCTTTAACGATTTGTGTACGTAATTACCTTAAATGAGCAGAATGTCTTGGTATGCCCTAACTTACAAGATTTCAAAAAGTGAGATGAAATTTTCGTACTTAGTACAGATGGCAACTCTCTAATTGCCATAACTAGAAATTAGTTTCTAATAACCCCAAAATTTCGAAAATAACATTTACAAGATTCAATAGTACAAAACTTTCTGCCACACAATTTGCAGTTTCCTTATCACATGCACCAACACCAACTTCACAGCCCCTCTCACAATCTGCTTGCGATGCCCCACGCCGTCACACAACACCGACATCCGTGGCTACCCCTCTCCCACTGTAGGTCAGGTTCTTCGAATTGAAGGTTCAGGCCGGTCAGCTGTGGTCAGCTGATCGAGATCGTCTCACGTTTCAAGCACGATATATCGATTTATAACTATCGATAGCTCAAATCGCAAATGTTTACTCGATATTTGTATCTGCGAATGTAAATATCCGATATCTATAAATGTGAACAAATTGCTTAAGTAGTACAAAATTGAAATACTTGATTGGACAGAGAAAATTAGTGTGAATTACCAAGATATTTTGATATATCAGATGTTAAAATTGGGTAGACTCACTCTCAATATATCAAATATTCATCCTTATTAGAACAAATTAGGAAGAAATTATCTTATGAATACTTATATCATTTTGTGGTCACTATCATTTATGTTTTTGTCAGAAAGATAATCAATATGAGATTTGGAGAATGAGAATCAAAAGAATGACCAAATTCACGAGATACTTCTTGCGAACAAATTGAGTACACTCGCTCAAATGCATTACATAAGTTACCATAGGGTTCTGACATCATTTTGTGAGTTTTTCATGTTAAAGATTCATACAGAAAAGGTGTGGCGTGTGACGCATGCGTGCTGGTTGACGCATTTCAATTTTATATTGTACAATTCAATAAGAATTAATACTATTTAATTGGTAGTCTTTTTCTACGTAATTGTAAATCTTATTCTTACTTACTTCTACATATATATTTAATTTTTTTTTTATTTGCATAATGTTAAATTGAAACACTAAGAAATACGTTCAAAATAAAAAAATGCAATGTGAATTGATGGGATTTTCTTTGTATTTCAGTATCGAAATTTGTCGTGGGGGTGAAAGAAAAGAATAGGATCAAATTAACCTAGGCCCAAGGGCCCCCAATGCTGTTAAAATGGCCCTGAATTACTGACATGAGATGAGTAAATTCTACACCACGCGAAAAATAAAAATGGCACAATGGATTACTACTCTAGTGAATAATAGCGGGATGTATAGTAGTACATTAGATATTCCAAGTACCTTAAACAAATCTGTAAAAATCTGTAGGCTGTAATTTTCTAAAAGTTAAAAGTTGAATAAGGTTTCTTAATAAGTTTTATATAAAAATACCCGTTGCACTACGTACATAGTAACACAACATCATTTGATAATATGGATAACGAAATTAATCAAAAAGTTGAGGGACAATTATATTTGCCGCAATCGGAAAACAAGATACCTTCGTGTAATTTGTGGCCTTGAACATGAAAATTCTATTTCTTTTGCGTTATCTAATTTTGGTTTTATATTAAAACGAAGCTTTTAAGACCTCTTTAATGAAAATATGCACGGGAAAGTAATTCATCAGGATAAAAATCAATGGAAAAAGTTACAAACACTGATGGCCATCCATTTTACTTGCTGACTGCTGTTAAAATATAGTGAAAAAATTTCGATAGCCCTGCTACAAGAAGAGGTATTTGATTTTATTGTTGCCAAACTTTTGGAAAACTATCACTAATGTGAAAATTTCATTTCGAAATACGCAAAAATAAAATAAGTATGTAATGTATCTGGAAATCTGATGGAGCTTTGAAAAAGGATAACTTGTGGATTAAATATCTACAATTTCGCACAAAACACAACAACAACAACAACAACAATAATAATAATAATAATAATAATAATAATAATAATAATAATAATAATCTTTTTCTATATTACTGCCAATCCGAATTGCCGAGATCGCTATGGCAGTAGTGTCGGGTGATCTCCGACGAAAACAGTTGTGCAAGTTTGTGTTTCGTCTGTATGTTTTGTGATTGTCTATTCACTCACCATCATCATCATCATCATCATCTCGTACTTCATCCCCGCAGGGCTAACAACCCTGGGGTGTAAAAACGGATTCGGCATAAAAGTGCTGATCCCCCCCAATGTCACGTGCACTTGCCTCCTGGAGGATATGTTTGGGCCTCATTAGGTACAAGTGGGACTTCTGCGTGGTCCTCGGATGGCCAATTCGCGACATAAAATCTATATTACTAATTTCCAAAGAGCGCAAAAATTGAAAGAAAACTATGCTGTCTCCAGCAATGTGAAAGGTGTCTATGATTTCGTTAGATACCCTAGAACATGGGGAAAATTAAAAATCAATGGGTTTCGAATTTGACTTATAAATGCAAATATTTGGGAGTGTTTTCCGCTTATTCTCATACTGTGCGTACCAACTTTATTCTGACATTGAGTGCGTTACTGCTCACGATATAGCTGATGTAATGTGATGAGGCTCCAAGCAAGAGGTCGCCCGCCATGAACTATCCTGGGAGCGTCTGGACATTAGAAGGATCGAATGTTTGCGGCGAAATGGTTCGAACGTTAAAATGGAAACCGAGTTTAAATCGCAGCCATAGCAAATATTTTCGCAGATTGGGAACTCTCGCAGAAGCGTGTTAGATCAATGAGGTGTTCTCCAAGCCAAATATATATTTTTAGGAATAATGTTAAATCAAACCTGTTGTTCTTTAGCCGACGCAAATACAGTTTCTTTTATTTGATCTTTTTTATATCTTTGCTTAATATTGTATAATTCTTTTGCGATTGTATTTCGAGCGATGTTCAGAAATGATAAAAATTATATCAATTATATATCCTCGTAGTTTGCCAGGCGTCAGCAGAAATAATCAAGGTCAAATCTGGGCTGTGATGAGAGAAAACGTGGCCGCCGCCAAGTCGATTACGACATAAGAGACTGCAACCCAACGACGATTTCAAAATTTTCTCAAAAAGATGGTAAATTGTTGGATTAAACTTTCTCTTCTGACAGTGTAAAAAACTTTAAAATGGTGCGGAACTCGCTTACGATAATATACCTAATTTTTCGAAAACTGCGAAAGATCAAAAGTTTTTTCGGCGTCCACAACTTTAATATTGAAGATTGATATTTTTTCTGAATGAAATATACTGTTGAAAGACGTTTTTAACTAAGATAATGTGAATTTTTCGAAAATATAAGTAGTTTCACGTCATTCTGCGGGAAATAGAGTGAATTTTAAATAATTGTTTTCTAAAAAACAACTACTTTTTTCTTTAAAATAATGCAATTCTTTTTCATCAAGTTATATGATTCTATCCTGTAAGATATGTTTTTGTATTATTTTGTTAAGCACTGCTTTTGTAGCCGATGCTAATGTTTTCTACTGATCACAGCAGTCAACACGACATTATGTTTTTTTTAATTTCATTTTTTTCTGATAGATCAAAGAACTCTCAAAAAGGGCGATGTTTCCATTTTCGACAAACTCTTTGTATTTGCAGAAAACGCAAACAAAAAAATAGTATTGCAAATCTACAATATTGATGATAGAGATTTTTCCTTAATGAAAGCTGTTCTTTAAAACTAGATTTTGAAAAAAGGTTTTTCAAAAATTCATGAATGTTTGAAAATAGAAAATGCAAATTTTCCAAGCTCTTTGGTTGAAGGTTGAATTTGATCGTGAGGCTGGTGGTTTTTCGTTAATTGCGTGTTAATTCTAAGAATCTAATTTGAATCCTAGCGTGGATAAAAATTTTCTTTTGATTGTAAATTCGTTTGAAGATTCATGTAGTATTTTAATATTCTGCGACTGTTACAAATAATACGAGAAAGTATCTGCTGTTTCGTTCCACTAGTTAATCGATAGGCGAGAAATTGTTAAATTGATTATAATCGTTAGATTAATTACAATGACCTTCATGGAAGTGAAATGTCATCAATATATTGAAACTAAAGCACAAGTTAATAATTTTTGACTTATTGTTTTGTAATTGAAATACAAAATTATAAAAGTTGTATACTCAATGTTCATCAACGGTTCAAGACTCCTTAAAATTTTCTGGGTGCCAAGAACGAACCTAACATAACAGTGAAGATTACTGTATTTACTCTTAAGGTCTACTTTGCTTATTTTATAAATAAACTCAGTATCAAAGCAAAGTAAACATTGAGTAATTTGCTATGTTTACGTCGCAAAAGAAATTAACGAGAAACATATTGACACATAAACAAGAGAATAAAAACTGCTCATATAATAAAACAATAATGTGTACGTGCTGTATTGCATGAGCTAGTCTCTTCGGAATGAACATTGCTGTAAAACTCTGACGAACGAAAACATTCACAACGAAGGATGCAAAAGAAGGCAAGAAGACAGAAGAATGTTCTACGAGTATTTCGCATTGATTACTTCGAAATTGAAAATACATGCATGACATTTGCAATGGCTCATCGCGCACGCTAAGACACGGTCTTTGCAATGCCATTCACCTTTCATGAGACAGGTATGAGGTTGCGTAAATTACCGAAGATTTTTGGAGCGACTTTTCCTCCCCAAACAAGCACGTTGAGGTAACACCACACGGTGGGTCGCCTCCTTCCCGAAAGCGGAACTCGCCGGCCCTATTCCGCGCGCGGGGCGGATAGACCGCACCGCGCCGCGCCGCTCCACGCCACGGCGCGCCACGCCACGGCGCGCCACGCCACGGCGCGCCACGGCGCGCCACGCCAAGCCACGCCACGCCACGCCAGCCGCGCCGCGCCACGCACCGCCTTCCCTGCGGAGCTTCGCGAGCGGAGGCAGGTGCTAAAGCCCCCGTTGGCGCAATTTATTAACGTTTCCCTAACCTACGGGCCGCGACTCGGATTCAGGTCGCCCAAAGAGTAGGTCGAATGGGACATCAGGCCACGCGGTTTTTAAGCACTGAACTAAGATTCAAAACAACTAAATGCTCCATTGGTGTAACATGTCCTGCAGAACGGCAGATGGACGATGTGCCTTGACGATAAACAATGTTTTAGACGCACTATAAACAAATAATTTCTTGAAATTATGTGTAGGCACTGTTACGTGAAAAACATATTTTATTTATTTATTTATTTATTTATTTATTTATTTATTTATTTATTTATTTATTTATTTATTTGCAATGTGGAATTTTTGTAATGAATGAGAAAATAATTATTTTATTGAGGCGAAATTCTCTGTTGTAGTAATAACACTTAAGGACATTAGTGCGGCATTATATTAATATGTTGTGTGTGTCATTCTATCCATATTGTTGCACAATGTATACTTAATGTTCATGTGTTGGGTGAATAAAATTATGGTGATTGAGTCTAGTTTAAATACGAAAGATAGTAAAGTCCCAAAATTTGGGAGCGATATAATGTTATTAAAATAACTTAGTATTAAGAGTCAATTTAACCTGCTCTCGTATATTACTTAAAATGAAATTTAATGTGAATTGCTAGTTTCCGACCAATTTCTTCTGTTGTTTCTTTGCAAAAAGTAGTATTATTTTTAAAAAAATCTATGTTAATTCATTCCATGATCGCTACCCTTAACACCAACGTGTACTAAGAAACTGATTACAAAGTTGTGTTTCTTTCGCAAGAGGAGATGGAAGGGCGGGGAAGCAAGGAAACAACAAGCAGTGCTGAAAGTGGCGTCTCCTGTCGGGGCCTTCACACGGAAGTGGCATCTCCCTCGCTCCCACGACCTGGCTCTGGCTCTGGCTGCCAGCTTCCGGTCGTCGCGCCTCTTCCTCTCCTTCCTCCGTGGGCGGCCACGTGCAGCGACGCGGCCTGCTGGCAAGGCGGTCGCACCGCGCCTCTCGCCCGCCCACTCACGCACCCACTCACCCACCTACCCATTCACCCACCCACCCGCTCGCTCGCGGAAGCTCCCTCCGGCAGCAAAGGCGCGGCAGGCGATATGACACTGTAGCCCGAGCGAAGGGCGACCAGGTGCAACCAGGTGGGGCCACGCCGTTCGAGTTTCACATCTGACTGGCTTCAACGACCTTCACAGGACCTCGGCTTCAAGAGCAAGTTGAATGCGTTTCGTCAGTCCTTCCTCAATTTTGATCTCGCTTCGGTATTTTCTACATTTTAATTAGTTCATCTTCGCAGACAGCTCGCCATCTTGCATCTTCTTATTCTTCATCCTTTTTTATTTTTATTTAACGTCAAAAAAAGTTAAATTCTGTGTGGCATATTATGGGGAGAAGAGTAGTATGTGCATTTTCTTATTTATTTCGCTTCTCTACCTACTCGTCTTCATCTCCATCCTTCTCCTTTTCTTTATTATTTCTCTTCGACCACATAATGACCTCGAATTTTAGGACAAATGCCTATTTTGTTCCTTTAGAATATTGTGGAAAATAATTGCAAATGTTTACAAATCATGAAAAAATAGTTAACGTAAAACGTCCTAAAACGGCGGTTGATGCATTTTTTGAAATATTTTTTGCCTAAATCTACCTAAAACAAGTAATTTTAGTGATAATAATATTTTAATTATTCATTCTTCAAATTTGTTTTGCCGAAACGCAAATACTTCCCAGAATCTTCCTAAATCTAAATTTCGAATCTAATACGCAATCGACAAAGCACCGAAATCTCTCACCTAACACACCAAACATAAGCTCTGCAAGTCAATATAAAGAGGATGTCTCACGCTCGCCTCCAATCAGCACACACTTGCATCCATTCGGCATCCATCTAGGCAATTGCATCCATTACCGGTGCAGCTGCGCTGTTGACAGGTTGAAAATGAAAATTGTGAAAGAATAAATGAAATGAAATGAAAAGAAATGAAAATGAATAAAATAATATGCTCGTAGTCATTCTTATATATGTAAAAATACTTTACTTTCCTGAAAAACATGAAGTGCCTAATTTAATCCTTTTGTGAACAGTTTAAGATCCCAAGAACATAACGTTTCACCTCTAATGTTTTTTAAATGCCTGGTTTAATCATTTTTAACTTATTTTAAGAGCCTATAATGTCATATTTCATCCTCAACAGTGCCTAATTTCATAATTTTTAACATATTTTAGGTGCTTAAATCATCACTTTTTTTATCCTTAAATTCCGAGGTCTACTAATGAGTCACCAGGCTCTAGAAACATACTTTATCCATTTGCCTTCCTCCCTTGATCGTTTTTCCAAAAGTTAACTTTTCACTCAAGAATACGAGTATTTTTTCTATATTGTCTCCGCGTTCCGGGTCTTGAATTCTTAACCATTTAGAATTTGTTGGGGACAAAATAGCACATTCCGGTCGAAATTCACCAGTTTTTCATGGGGAGTCGTAATCCCTGCCCCTCATTCCGCCATCAGCCACATGTCTCATTATATGGTACTTCGACTCTCGAGCTCCATGATAATTTTCATATGCTGGAATTCAAGTGTCTTCATTAGCGAGAATTATGAGCTGATGAGGCTACCACAGGCATGCTCAGCGTGAATCAAGAGGGGCCAACTACATTTCTGAGCCCCTCTGTCCCCCACTAGCCCCCTTTTCCTTTAAACTTTTTTTATTTTCAAATGGCTTTTTTTACTAGTAAATAAATAAAACATAACAATGAGAATGAAATAACATTAATGATAAATTAATAAAGACAAATGGTGTTATGTTGAACCATTTACAGGGTTGACATGATGTAGAGAGCCTCTTCCTCTAATGGTGTACCAATTTCCGAAATTGTTATTTTGAAATATAGAAGTCAATAATTGATCGTTTTTTGGAAATAAAATGTTTTATATCATAGGACTGCGGAGCCCCTTTCGAAATTTAAAGCGGGTCGCGACCCTGCCCTCCGGTTGTACGTATAGTTACTCAACGGTCATAAACAACTAGCAATCTTCAGGTCTGCATACTAAATAACTCCATTGTTAATGAAGATTTCGAGGGTTTGAGTCTTCAAATAATTCTATTAAGATTAAATAAAGTCTAGGTTATCGTTCCCAAAAGTATATTTTTGTACTTCCAAGTCTACTTAACGAGCGAACGAAATGAAAGAACTTTCATATTAACCAGAATTACTTTGTAAGTGCTAAAAACAGCGATGAACTGCAGAGGTGTTTTGGTAAGGTATATGTTATGACTATAAACCTTGATCTTCGTGTAATACTTCCATCGATGATATTTGAAGACAGAGCAACGAGGTCAAGGGGAACTAAGGGAGATGTAACACCTATTGATGTCAATGTGTTATTAGGCACACAAACCTCCAAAGGAAGAAAAGCAGTTATTCCAATGTAATGCTCAAATATTGTTATAGACTTGCTAACGCCACAGCACACATTCCGTGAACTCTCAAGGCTCCAGGCAAGATTTCCACTTCTCGGGGTGTGAACAAAAAAGTGCGACGCAGACAAATAGCATGCGCAATGGTTGCTATCTTAACACACATCTCGCACATTCCTTGAGATAACGGAATGGTTGAGTCTGGCATGAAATTTTCCCATGGAGGGTTTCGGTCAAAATCAGTTATCAAAAGAGTCTGTTGTGATAGTGACTAGAAAATGGTCGGGGATTAGGCATGGAAAGTCAAGTTCGATTAAATTTATTACTTAAATTACTGTAATAATAGAACAACAACCTAATAAATCTCTAATAAAAAATTCGTTTTAAATGTAATAAAAACTTCTAACCTGCCTCCATGGTGCATATATGAGGAACTGCGCTCAATTTCGAGGAGTCGAAGATTTTGGGGTTAGATTGACAGATAATATTCGTTTTTTCGGAGCGCGTCAACTGCTAAGGTCGCCAGTGATGTCAGTTAAGTGACTATCACTTCCCTGGAGGCGGCGGTGTTCATCCTATAGCTAGAATGGATGTCTAGCGCGAACCTCTTCGTCGGCAAGACAGCGGGGCACCATCCCTACCGGTGCAAGCTTTAAGATCCCGATTGGCCTCTCGACATGTCTGGTCGCGTAGCGCACGAAAGTGTGTGAGTGGGGGAAGAGTAAAGACAAAGATGAGGAAGGAAAGATTTCGCGCGATCCGTATCCTGTTTGTTAAAGTATTACGACATTCCCCAGATAATCATAGTAGAAACCACAGAAAATCGGAGCAGCAGACCGCTACAGGCAGTGACCGAATTCCACCTAGCTATATAACTGGCGTCGAAAATTCACCACTATCGGAACTCGAACCCTACGTCTTCACGGCCAGTCCCAATGCAGTGGTATCAGTCGTTCCACAGGCTATCTCAACCTGCGCGTGGGTTCAAGACCCGTGTGAGGTCTGTATTTACCTTGGGATTGTGGGGTTTTTATTTCTCATATCACCACGTATCAAATTTTAACTGTTATTCCACATGTAATCATTGATCTCTCATCATTCAGAATTGATGACTATTCCTTCCATAATTCATTCAGTGGGAAATGTCAAACCATAACACATATGACATGCCAATGAAAAGGCAGGGCATAAAAGATAGAACCTCTTCCCCTGTCTACGCTCGGGGATCGAGTGTAGTATCTTCATGGATGAACTTGTAAGAGAATATTCACTTCAACTTTCCCACCTAACTATTTACTTACGTAGTAAATAGAAATTATTCTAATACAGCGACGAAAATCGACATTTGTTTACAGGAAAATACCTATTATTGGATCCAGGTAACAAAAAGTGGATAAATCCTAAATGTTGTATACAACCTTTACTACCTTATATGAAGTAAATTACTTTTTTTAACACGTGTATTCACAATTCACTTCTTGTGGGTCTTCAATATCGAAAAATTGGCAAAACGTCTGTCTGTTTGTGGAGAACACCTGCGCCTAAACCACTTTCAAAATTTCTCCAAAATTGATGTTCCTCGATTGTTCTGAATCATCTCAAGGCTCTGCTAGTTTGAAGGGAATAATTTGATTTTTGGGGGTATTTTACATGAAGTTTCAAACACATTTTAATAATTTTCTCAAAAATTGATACAAATTTTTGGTTTAAACTTTCCTTTAGCATAAAGAGCACTTAAAGAAATGATGCAAGCAGTAATGAGCACTTAAAGAAATGATATCGCTAAACTTTCTGAATTTTCGAAAATTGTAAAAGTTCAATATTTTTTCGATACCTTCCAACAACTACAATATTGAAGATTAGATGTATTCCTTAGTAAAATATATTCTTGAAAGACAGATCTTTGAACAATGCCATGTGCAATTTTTTGGAAATATGAGTAATAGTGCGTAGAATTTAGGCAATTTTTAAACAATTATTTTCTCATTAACTGCTCCATATTTTTTCTTTATTTTTGCCGCTGATATAGCAAGAAATGGTAAAGAAAATGGTGCTGATTCCCCTTTCAAAAAGACTTTGAATTTTGAACAAGTTGCAAACAAATTAACATTCTAAAAGTACAATTCTGGTGATGCGTGATTTTTTCTTAAATAAAATCTGGTTTAAATATAGATCTTTAAGTGAGTTCATATACAACGTTTTTATAATACGTGTAATTTTTATGTAATTTTTGCTTGATGTTAATTAAATTTATTAAAAAATCTTAAAAAGTATTCCAAATGTTTAAAAAAAATATTTGTCTAGGATAGAGCAAATGACGCTTAAGACGTAGGTTCCATTTGCGGTGAACTCTCTGTATTTTCGATTATTTCAAACAAAAAAGTAACATTAAAAACAGTAATATTTATAATAGAGGTTTTATCTTAATGAAATCTCTTCTGTAAAAGTATATCTTGAAATAGTAATGTAAATAAAAATATCTAATTTTTTTGAAATTACAAATGCAAATGTTGATCTTTCTTAAAGTACCGGGAAGGCGAAGTGTAAGCGGGCGTAGAGTGCAATAGGGGTAACGCGAACAGCGTGCATCCTGTCAGGATTTGAGTCCAAATCCCAGCG